GGCAGGCCCTCCCTTCCTCAGCCTTTATAAAAAAAAAAAAAAAAAGGCAGAAAATACAAAGGAAATCCTAGGTCATGACGGAAGCTGGAGATGCTTCTGAGCTATGGGAGGTGTGGAGTCAAGGGCCTGCTGCTCATTAGGAAAAGAAGTCTCCTGCCCACCAGATGCAAGGGGTAAATATTAGCTACAGGCACACCTACGACTAAGGGCTGTAATGGCCTGAAATCACCCAGTCTTCCATGCCTTGTTGCCTATGGCTGACACTATGCAACCCCTTACCTCGGCTCCCAGATTTACTCTCCAAGGCCAGTGCTGGCACTTGCCTTTACCCTGGTGATGGAAGTGGCCTTTAAACCACCTGGGTGTGATCCCTTCTCACACCTCCACTGCTGGCACTTGGCCTTGCCCAACATACAACACATGAAGACCCATCTCCATCCAGCCCTACGAGAACATGGGCAGACCAACAGCCAGCTCAGGAGCACAAGCGAACAAATATTTGAGGGGTTTCTTCTCTTTTAGGCACAAACTGTGGCACAAATGAAATTCCAGTGGCAGTTAAGGAAAAGGCAAGGTGGCAGTGCCTACATGTTGGCTGATGCAACAGGTTAGTGCCCAAGTGTGATCAAGGTCTGAGTCCCACAGCAAGCAAATGCCACTTAGCCACACGGTTTGGGAATGGTTATATCAATCAGAGCATCAAAGTCTCTTCCCTGTGTATATCAGGGACATAACTTCAGTGGTTGCTGCGAGGACCAAAACTATTTGAAAGAGCAGAGGATGCTCGGACAGCCTGGTGAGAGCAGACATGCCCCAACAGTTTTGCTGTGCACAATTCTCCTTCGTACCTGTGCTTGGGAGTGATCCTCTCCAGGACTGCTAGCTGTGCTGTCCTTCCCATATAGCCCAGGTTTCTTGCTGGACAGTAGAGGGAAACCTGCCAGACACATATTTTACCATCTTATTTGTACTGCTTTTGTCTTAAATAAAGTTTGCAATTAAATAACAAGAGTAGAAAATTAAAAAGTCATCTGGATACAGTTGTACCTGAAGAGCTGACCTACAGTAATGAAGTTTATGGCTTCACTCACATGTGTGTGCGCACTGTGCCAAACACATGCTGACATTTTCAGTGCTGGACCTGAACTGCTTCCACTTTTTGGCTGGATGTGGTGAAGCAGTTTCTGAGTTCCAGGAAACTTTCTGGAAAACCAGCCCTTTATAAGAGGGCTTTCCAGGCCTTAAAAACAGAGGCAGTCAGAACAACCAGCAATTTTTGAAGCTTTGGGTAGTTCCGAGAAATGGAAGTAAATGGATGACTTCTGAGACAGCTGCCTGGCAGAATGGCAAAGAAATGGGAAATGCAACCACCTACAGGCAGCAAGGACAGAAACAATCCCGCAGTCTCCCACGCCAGGCCAATGGGCAACATGCGGGGGCTCTCTTAGGATCAGACAAGGTAACTAATTGCTAAAGGTCCTGAACTAAAACTATCACGACAGACTTAGACCTCCTGGAAACAAAAGGAGGGAGGTAACTTACACCTGAAGGGACTCCAGAGAGCTCTCTAATATTTGTCCCTGTGGGAATTTTACATAATAAATAATCTTTGGACAGAAAAAGGTATCCCAGAGCCAAGATATTACCATGTCAAGCTTTAATATGACAAGTATATTTATAGCTGAATTCTTAACTCCCAAACTCAATTATTAGTTCTGAAACCCACAGAAGTTCCCAAAGCAAACTTTGGTTCTTCTAAGTAGGGATTAAAAAATGCATAATGACAAAAGCAACACATCAGAGGGAGAAGACAGTTCCTGCATGTGGACTGCAGAAAAGGCAAGCCAGGGAGAGAGGCCAACTTTCTTTTCCTCTCAATGTCTCACCTGTGCATTCCCAATCTTGGTGCAACTTGTTACTTTCAGCCAAGAATCGAGGGAAGTGATGCACTGGAGGTCATTAAAGAACTCCCAGAGGGACCAGCAGTGAGAGGCTGAACTGAAACAAATCCAGCTTTTGTCACCTGGTTAAAGGGCTACCTCAACTCTGCTCTGCTGATGGTCTTGTTTCTGTATCTTTTTGCAATGAGTTTTCAGGGTAGGGGAAAAAAAGAAAGAGAAAAACACCCTTCAAATAATTTCAGATGCATTGAGAAAGTCCATGATGGTCCTGTAAGAAAGCAGCATCCAATTTGAGCTACTTCATCTTCATTTTCACAGCCTATCCCCACCCTACACCAATTCTCCATCCCCAGTACGAGCGGTCCTCCTTTCCCACCCACCATGTCGACCCTGATATTGTGTGTAGCGAATTGACCATCAGAGAAGATGAGAATCCAGAATGAGGACAAAACCCCAGTTACCTGTATGAATGATCCAGGGGGGTTTAGCCTGACGTACTAAAGCCCTCAGCCTCCCAACACGGGCAAACCTCACGGCTCAGCACACCAAGGGGAAAGGCAAACTCTGCAGCAGCGACAGCTGTAACACCGATGAGGGCTGAACACGCACAGCCCAAGGGCCTGCAGTGTGAGAGCATGTGCCTGTGGGCAGAACCACTTCCCACTACAGCTCTCGCGGGAGCTTACAAGGACAGGGCCTGTGCGCCTGAGAGCATCGCTCTGTGCAAAGCCACAAAAGCCAAAAGTCTTTCACGGAGCGAACGGATGTGTTCCCACCAAGACGCTGTACCCGTATTTGCAGCTTGACATTCAAAACGGGATTTTAAAAAAGTTCCCTGGGGGATTATCATGATCTGCTTAGACCAAAAACTACTCAAAGTGACCAAGATAAGAGCGTAGTGTTCCCTGTTGGCCATGCAATGGGGATTAAAAATTTTGAAAGGTAATATCCTGCTCTGCACCTTGCAGCCAATATAATCACGACACTGATTTCCTTTCCTTGGCCGTATAGCTTACGCTGTTTATGAAACATATGTGTTTTGGGAAATACATCTGAAAAGGAGACAGATTTTTCTTTCATGTGACTGATGATAATATGAATTCTTGTAACCAAATATTAAGTGGATTAAATATAGAAACTAAGACTTAGAGTGTTCCTCCAGAGAGCAGAAAATGCCTTTATTCTGTTCCCAGTATAGAGTGACTGTGCTTTACACCTCGTTTTAACAGCGTACTTGAGGTTCAAACTCAGGCAGCGCATCGCTCCCCTCTCAAAGGCTTTTAGCTCCCTCTAGAGCCCTTCGGAGGCACGGGAAGATTTTAATAAAATCATGGGAAAATTAATTGGCAAACGATTAAGCAGTGCACTTGCTGAGAACAAGCTGAAAATGAGTCGAAATTAAGAGTGCTCCCAGTCTTCCTTTCTCCCTCACAGCCTTTCTTTTTTTCCCCCTCAAACCTGGAATAAGCCTCATTTTTCCTTTGATCCTTTAAACAATGAGATCAATTAAGGCAAGATTTTAAATCCAAGACAACCCCTGACATATGAGCCAAACCTCAAGTGCTGTACAGTGCTCAAAGACAGTCCTGAGGCTGACACAGATGCCACAAGACTGAGGGCATCCTGCTCTGCCTCCCTGTCCCGGGCAGGGGACAGCCTTCCCGGGGTGGGATCTCGGAGGTGAGGTGAATGCCAGCAAACACGGCCCTGTCGCGGCCCATCCATCTGCCACAGCTGCCTCTCCAGGGACAGCCCGTCACATGGGATGGTTTGCTGAAGCTGAGCTTGGTGGGAGCATCCTCTCATCACTGTAAAACACCCCCACACATTCTCTACTGGGATTTACTGAGTTATCCCAGATGCGTGGCGCTGAGGGCCTCCAAGAGACTGCGGGGTCGGTAGTCACAGTGCTCCCGTGTATCTGAAAGCTTCGGATTCAGATGCGAGCCCAATGCCAGGAAGGAGAGATGCAGCTCACCTCCTCCTCTGAGATACAAAAATTCATCCCACGGCGGATACTTCCAGATAATCTTGAAGCTTGTTTGTGCAGTCAAATCAAGCAAGCCGAGATGCCTCTGCGGAATGCTGGTCCCATAACAGACACAGGCAGCCTACTGGTTTCAGGAGCAGAGGCCTTAACTACTCTGAAGGCAACTGGGACTCTTGGGAGCAACAGAAATCTCCCCCATTGCAGAGGGCAATTGAGGGCAGGGTTAGAGTGGCTGTCACCACCGTTCCCCAAAACCCGCTGTCTCTATGCCCAGAAACTGTGACACTTGGTCACATACACGAATCCCTTCTTTCCGCTGCTGTACATTCATGTTTTATAAGCCCCAGCCTAACAGATATGACTGTTTTTAACCAAGTTCTGAGAGGGTTTGGGATGCTGGTAAGCTCACCCAGTTCCCATACAGTGCGATCAATCCCAGCAGGTACCTGCGAGTCCTTAGTGGGGCTGTGCACAGGATGCCGGGCGACACTGTTACAAGCAGCAGAGATGTGACCAGGAATGGCTGCCTTGTTTTGGGACCGCAGCCCAGGAGGATTGGTTAGATGCAGCCCTGGCTGCAAGGGGTGACCATACTGTGTTTCAGAAGTGAATTGAGCAGAGACCTGATTGCTATTGAAATCACTGCATTCCTGTGCAATACTCATGGTCACAGAGGCTCAGCCCAAACCAAGTGAAACTGCAAGAGGACAAGAACTAATAATGCTCATTTTCACCAGCTCACCCCTTGGGATGGCTGTAACCCAGAAACACCACTTGCTTTTTCCAACAAAAAAGAAGCGATAGGGCACCCGTAGATGGGTGTAAGTAGCCACCTCCAGGAGCATTTCTAATAAATGATACTCAGAATGTTGAAGCCATCATCGCACCAGATCAAAAGCGATGAGCACACACAGGGCTAGACACAGAACACGCGGCTCTGGGATTGGGGTGCATTTTCTTATGTGGAGAAGTGGGGCGGACACCACTCGCTGGTGGGTGCAATAATGTACAGAACAGTCACGCAGAAAGGGAATTTGATCTTTTCAGGACAAGAAAATGGAAAAGAAGTAATTTTTGCGTCTTAGATCTCTGTTCTCTCATCTATTGACTTAAAAATACAAAACTTTTAAAGGAAGGTAGGAGAAAAAGACATTTAAGAGACAGGAAAACAGAAGACAGCACAGATAGAAGATACAATTGCTTCTCAGGCTTTACTCACTCGTTTGGAGTTTTCTTCTCCAATTCTGATATTTATTTAATGCTGTAGAGTGAAAACTGTTGGCTCTCTGTAGTGCTGTACAAAACCAGAAAAGACACATGGTCAGCTAATGTAGCAAAAGCCAAAGAGTGTATTGGGTTTGCATGGCAAGGGTTTGGTAGCTGGGGGGGCTACAGGGGTGGCTGCTGTGAGAAGCTGCTAGAAGCCTCCCCCTGTGTCCAACACAGCCGATGCTAGCTGGCTCCAGGACGGCCCCACAGCTGGTCAAAGTCGAGCCCATCGTGGTAGCACCTCTGGGATAACCATTTCAGAAGGGAAAAAAGCTGCTGTGTAACAGCAACCGTAGCTGGAGAGGGCAGATTTCCCGGCAGCCCATGG